TGCCTGGAAACTTAGAAAAGTCCATGGCGGCCAAAAAGCGTCCCTTTACATCAAAAGCGGTTTTAGAACAGCGATAGTAAATCAGAACCACTTGCAGAATTGAGTGATAATGATTTGTGGGGAAATTCGTCATCAGACACTGAAAACGATTTTGCGACTTTGCTCAGCGATGTGCGAATTTGCCTCTGTATTTCAAATTTCAGTGTTTTTGGTTGATTATATTATTGAATTAAATTTATTATTATTATATTATTATTTTTTATGATTATTTATTAAATTATAATTTATGATTTCGTGTTTCAAGTTTTATCATATCCGGAATGTTTAATAGACTCTTTTTCGGATAGATTTCAGTGAGTTATTCCTAAAAATTACAGCCTACAATTAAAAACTACATATTTCCATGCAAAAAAATGGTACCGCTTTCAGCACAAAATTCCTGACATGATCATACCGCCAGGGAGGTTAAATACACCTCCTGCAATCAGCCCCAGGTGTTGGCTGACTGCAGGACTGAGCTTCTGGCTGCTGAGAGCACCCGCTGGTCAGCCCTGGTACTGCAGCCCACACGGCAGGTGAGTCCCACCACCAGTGCTGAGTCCATTCCTGACATACTGTATGTCCACATCAGTCCCTAACCCTCAAGAGGTGTACAATCTAAGGTCCCTAACTTACATTTATTCACATACTAGGACCAATTTATACAGGATCCAATTAACCTACCAACATATCTTTGGAGTGTGGAAGGAAACCGGAGTTCCCCGAGGAAACCCACACAGGCACAAGGAGATCATGCAAACTCAAGGCAGGTGGCGTTGTGGTTGGGATTTGAACCAACGACCCACTGTGCTGTGAATATATATATATATATACGAGCACACATCTGATTTTTCCAATGCTTGAGATTCAAAGAAACTTGTCTTGAGAGAAAAAAATGTGGTCTGCTGTTTCTGACCTCTTCTAAAACGCTAGTTGCCTGGCTGTCATGCTGATGATTTGGCTCCAATACTCTAAGTACTTGAATTTCACATGCTTTTTATTGTATATTATCCAGGAGTTAAAAAGATTTTCAAAGCAGTTTTTATCATTTTTATAATCCAGCTGTTTTCTCACATAATAATTATTCATTTGTTTATATTTTGCTTATGTTCAGGAAAGAAAATTAATGTTGTCTGTGCTGTTTAATAATACATTTATTGGCGGCTTACTATCAGCAGTACACCTAAAGTGTGTCTGTAATTACATTACAATGTGCATAATAGCTTCTAACACTGCCCATGCTTCCTTTCCAATTAGCTGTTACAATTTGTTCCCACTGGGGTGCAAGGCAATCTCTTCTTGCGTTGTGTTACGCGTGGTCAGCGCTCCGAAATCTCTAATATATGAGAATTGACTTCTCTGTCTACAATGGAAGCTTTCATAATGTTTCTAGTACTGCTTGGTTGGCAGTGCTGGTCCCTGTCTTGCAGAAAAGCAGATTAGTACAGCTCTTTCCCCATTAAGCCGTCAGTTTTAATTTAACAGAGCGGCTCAGAGCATGGAGACTATTTCCTTTTGCCATTCTTATTTCAAAGGTGTGGAAGAGATAAGGAATTCAAGTTAGCTCAAATGAGTCTGTTTGCATTTTTTTACAGGAAGAAAAAGAACAGAGAGACGGCACTGCAATGTCTGTGTGCAACAATGGTACCAGGATTCCATCTCCACAGGATACTGCCAATGGCTTCTCTCAGCCCACTGCTTCAGGTACATGGCATAGACCTGAAGAAGAAGCAAGAGCCACTGAACCTCATCTTGTCAAGAAAGCCCACAGAGAGATCCTAGACCATGAGCGGAAACGACGAGTAGAACTAAAGTGTATGGAGCTGCAGGAAATGATGGAGGAGCAGGGGTGAGTAAAACATTGGCAAAAAGCATTATCAATATGTAAAATAATGACAAGGTACAAAACAAAATGTTTAACACTCTTAGAAACAACTGTAAATAAGTCAATCATTTTTACATATACAATGTAGTAGTGGACCAGCCACTCATTAAGGGCCAGATCTAACTATGAGCGGTGACAGATGTTTTACCAAAGTGTAAAAAGCCTGTCATCGCAGGGACACACAGAAAACAAAATAGCTTCCTATGTGTCCCATTCACAGTGCAGCACAGCCTAGCGCTGCTTCAGTGTGCTGCAATAAAATGCAGACATGCTTCATTTTTTCGCAGTGCACCAGTCAGAGGCGTAGCTAGGATATTTTGCGCCCGGGGGACGAACAGCCACCTCATGAACCCCCCGCTTCATATGGTCCCTGTAGACACCCCCCATCCTGATCACATTGCCCCCCTCCCTTCATCTATGGCACTACTCACCATCTCCCCTCGTCCCCTCCGGCTCACTGCCCTCCTCTCCGCTCCTCTCCCGGCCAGCTCTCCTCTCCTCTCATAACTCACTGTGGATGGCAGACTTATCAGATGACACGTCTGCTGCAGCCGCTGCAGTGATCTTGTGACCTCATTTTGGCACCTCTGTACCTTGGCGCCTGGGTACATATGTACCCCCTTGCCCCCCCCCCCAGCTACGCCTCTGGCACCAGTCCAAAAAAAGCACTGCAATGTCGGGCATCACACTGCCGGACATTGCAGTGAATGAAGTGTATGTTTTGAACACTTTAAAAAATGTTCATACAAAACAAAACAAAATAAAAGGAGAACGGTGGTGCATGATTCGGTGCATATTTTACCCGGCAATGGAGAGTATAGCTTTCTTTATTTTTTTGTGTATTTTGTGTCACTGAGGTTATATACATATGAAACTACATACCTCCAATGAGCTATTTATAGGCGGTTTTTTCATCCATTAAAAGATTGTCAGACACTTTCAGTGCAGATGTGGAGCAATATGACAGTTATTACAAAACAAACCCTTGGAATTCATAAAGACTGGCACAGGCAGCTTTTGAAAAAGTGTTTTCCATTCATTCATAAAGTGTAATTCATCTTCCTGTCTAGGACTGGTTCTTGAATTTAGCTCATGCTGTGCCACTTTTAGAATGCATGTGAGACACTTTCGCAAAATGTGTATGAGCCAGTTTTTCTCTTTGTACACTAAAAGAGAGTTGGTCTTAATTAGCTCCACTTTTACATTTGGTGCATTCAGTACGACACAATGTAAAAGTGGCACATTCAATGCAACACAAAGTAAAAGTGGCACATATTAGAATTTGAATTTAGTGCACGAGACACTGTCAGAACCAATACACTAACAAGAGGCATTAATGCCAGAAAAGTGGCGCAGCAGATTTTATGAATTCCACTAAAATGTAAAACAAGTAATAGTATCAAGAGGTAAACATTGCGTTGAAAAAAAAACCTATTTAACTGCAGGTTGTTCACTATTTATAGTGCAGAAAACTGGCGTGTTGGTACATGCTCTCTTGGAAGCTTTCTAAACAGAACAGAAATGATCAAGTTGGTTAGGAAACAATTATATAGTCTGTTTTCAAATTACTGTTGTAAATGATCAGGTATGACCAATCTTTCATCTATCCAATTATTTTTTTTTAATGCACTTACATTCAAGTTGAGTCTGGATCATAGACCTTACTGGAATTGGTTTCTCTGTGTTGGGCCTCCATAGGCCTGCTTGTTAGAGGAAGATACCCTTTCACTGTACCACTGTTTTCAAATTTAAGTGTATTAAAATATGAAAGAATCTGAAGATAAATGGTGAGGATGAAGATGCCTCTCAATATAATAATGCAAGACTAGGGCTTTTGTTGATGAATTTCCCATCCCCTGAAGTATAAGTATTTCTATCGGAGGATGAGCTGCAGCCAAGGTTTGAACTGCAGTCTCCAGAGGTTCAAAGATTTAGGCTCAGTTCACACTATTGCAACTTGAAAGTCACACGACTTAGGGGATGATTTTCTGGCAACTTCCTGGCAATTTGCTGGTGACTTGATGAGAATTAAGTACGACCTTGATGAGTGACTTTCATGCCTGACTAATCTTTTTGTAATGTCGAATCCAAATCACATCAGTATAGATGAGGATCCAACTTGGAGGCAACTTTCATTAAAGTCGGATAGAAGTCTCTTTGGAGTAGTACAGGAACCTTTTCTAAAGTCGGAGCGACTTCATTAGTGCTAATTAAGACAGCTCTCATTGACTAACATGGGATTTCACATGTCATGAGACTTGAGGTCTCAAAAGTCGGATCCCAAGTCCTGGTAGTGTGAACTGAGCCTCAAAGTCATATTAACAAGGAAGTTTTTGTATTACTGTATTTAACCATTTTCAAATACTGATGTAAGGAAATTGAAAGAACAAGGTAATTCTCAATAGCATAAAATTACACTCTGGCCATAGAAAATAAAAGAATATAAGCCAGTGAGATAGGGATTTAATATTCAGTATGGGCAGACCTATCCTTAAACCCATCAAATATTCAAGACTCTAAGGTAGCTGGGAGAAAATAAACACTGCTCCAGCCCTGAGGAGGTGAGGTAGTGCCCTTGATCACAGTGTTAAAAGTCTTATGTATTATTCTGCTACAGATGCAGACACATGGAATTCTGGGGTTTTTTTTGTAAGTAGGAAGCAGAACAAGTCTTACATTTCAGTTATATGTCTATTGACTCGGTGATAACTGTATTACTTATAGCCTTAATAACATATACACTATATTTTTGGGGACAAATAAACTTTTGTTGGTATTGTCTTCAAGTCTGATTTTATTTTGCATATTCTATATATTTTAAAGGGCAAGAAATTAAAATCAAGATGAAATTTGTAATGAAAGCTATGTAATAAATTTTCAGTTCTATTAAATTTACCACTAGCATTCGCTTCATGGTAATTACTGTATTTTTCGCTCCATAAGATGCACTTTTTTCCCCCCAAAAAAGGGGGGAAAATGTCAGTACGTCTTATGGAGCGAATATGGTGTGGTCCGGTATTTATCATCACCGCCGGGTCAGAATATCGGGCCAGCTGCTTAGCTCTGTAGCAGGACCTTACCTGTTCCTCAGTCCAGCGCTGAGCAGTCTTCCCGCACCGGCTTCTTTAGTGTGGGCTTTTGGCTTGACAGCCGGGTGCACAGTGCGTATGCGCGAGTAGCGCTGCGCTTTGTGAATGGTATGGCATCTTCTGGGACACATGACAGGTCCCAGAAGACGCCGGGCCAATCACAAAGCGCAGCGCTTCTCATGCATGCGCACTGGGCACCTGGCTGTCAGCCGGGTGCCCACACTAAAGGTAGGACAACTCCGCAGAAGTGGGAGCAGGTACCTGTCAAATTCAGGTACCGCTCCCCCTCCCTCCCCAAAGGTCAGCAGTCATCTCCTGTACTGTCTGCAGTCTCTGGTCATCTCCTGTACTGTCCGCAGTCTCTGGTCATCTCCTGTACTGTCCGCAGTCTCTGGTCATCTCCTGTACTGTCCGCAATCTCTGGTCATCTCCCATACTGTCCGCAGTCTCTGGTCATCTCCTGTACTATCCGCAGTCTCTGGTCATCTCCTGTGCTATGTCCGCAGTCTCTGGTCATCTCCTGTACTGTCCGTAGTCTCTGGTCATCTCCTGTACTGTGTCCGCAGTCTCTGCTCATCCCCTGCACTGTCCGCAGTCTCTGGTCATCTCCTGTACTGTCCGCAGTCTCTTGGTCATCCCCTGCACTGTCCACAGTCTCTGGTCATCCCCTGCACTGTCCGCAGTCTCTGGTCATCCCCTGTACTGTGTCTGCAGTCTCTGCTCATCTCCTGTACTATGTCTGCAGTCTCTGCTCATCTCCTGTACTATGTCTGCAGTCTCTGCTCATCTCCTGTACTGTGTCCGCAGTCTCTGCTCATCTCCTGTACTATGTCTGCAGTCCATTGGTTCAGAATATTTTTTTTCTTGTTTTCTGCCTCTAAAACCTAGGTGCGTCTTATGGTCAGGTGCATCTTATGGAGCGAAAAATATGGTACTCACCAATGAGGTACTTAAAATGTTTGTTAAACATTGTAAAACTAATGTAACAAAAGCACGTAGAAGAATAAAATGTTGGTATAGTAGCATTAAATATAAAATGCAATAAAAATTAGTTAAGTCATATGGGGGAAGTATGGACTTTTTGTGTTGATTATTGAATAAATAGAAAACCCACCTTTAAAAATAAAACTCTTTTTTCAGAGGTTTGTTGCAGCCAGTTAGGTTCATATCACAGAAAAGCCTATAATTTGCAGTAACAAGGCAGTAACAGTTTTACAGAGTTACACTGAATGATCAGTGCAGCTGGCTGCCGAAGTAATTATTCACAAAGGGGGCTTTTTTGGCTCCTGCTCACAGTCTGGGACTGAGGCTTCGTGTACACGAGCAGCTGGCATTTTTTTGCCAAAGCTCTTAAACTCAACTCCATAAAAGCCTATGTGTTCATGTTCACATAGGCTTTTAGCAGAGTTTAGGAGCTGCCGCGTTTAGGTGAGGTTATACCTCCCTCTTCTGAACGTGAAAGAATCACATTCAGGATAGGAACGTTTTGACTGCTGACCACAGGAAAATGCAAAATGCAATAAAAATATGGCAAAACACCACAATCGCGGTACCACATTTTTGTTGTGATTTGCATTTCCCAACAGCCGGTGGTCAGAGTAGGCTCGTGTACATGAAGCCTTAAGCTGTCAAGTCGACAGCAGCCTGATGGGGATGTTCAAGGACTTGCACAATAGGGGGAAACAGCTACTGGAAGTTTTAAGGGGGTACATAAACCCTAACAATGAGCATCTCTTATAGTATATGCTCTTTTTGGTCCAGTAAATATACAGTTGCAAGAAAAAGTATGTGAACCCCTTGGGATTACGTGGAGTTTTGCATGAATTGGGCATAAAAATGCTCTGAACGTCATCTAAGTCACAATAAAAGAACACAGTCTGCTGAACATAATACTACACAAACATTAGATGTTGCCATGGTTTAATTGCACATAACATGTAAACATTCACAGTGCAGGGAGGAAAAAAGTATGTGAACCATTGGACTTAATAACTGGCTGACCCTCCTTTGGCAGCAATAACCTCAACCAAACGTTTCCTGTAGTTGCAGATCAGACCTGCACAACGATCTGGAGTAATTTTGGACCACTCCTCTTCACAAAGCTGTTTCAGTGTAGCAATATTCTTGGGATGTCTGGTGTGAATCGCTCTCTTAAAGTCATGCCTCAGCATTTCAATCGGGTTGAGGTCAGGACTCTGACTGGGCCACTCCAGAAGGAATATTCTGTGCTGTTGCAGCCATTGTTTTGTTGAATTACTTGTATGCTTTGGGTCATTGTCCTGTTGCATCACCCATCCTCTGCAGAGCTTCAGTTGGTGGACAGATGGTCCTACGTTTTCCTGCAAAATGTCTTGATAAACTCTGGAATTCATTTTCCCAGCAATGACAACAATCCGTCCAGGCCCTGAGGCAGCAAAGCAGCCCCAAACCATGATGCTCCCTCCACCATGTTTTACAGTGGGGATGAGGTTTTGAAGTTGGTGTGCTGTGCCTTTTTTTCTCCACACATAGTGTTGTGTGTTCTTCCCAAACAACTCAATCTTGGTTTCATCTGTCCACAGTATATTTTGCCAGTAGTGCTGTGGAACATCCAGGTGCTCTTTTGCAAACTTCAAACGTGCTGCAATATTCTTTTTGGACAGCAATGGCTTCCTCCGAGGTGTCCTCCCATGTACTCCATACTTGTTTAATGTTTTCCTTATTGTAGATGTGTCAACAAAAATGTTAGCATGTGCCAGAGATTTCTGTAGGTCTTTAGCTGACACTCCGGGATTCTTCTTTACCTCATGCGGCATTCTGCGCTGTGCTCTTGCAGTCATTTTTACAGGATGAGCCTCGCCTAGGGAGAGTAGCAACAGTGCTAAACTTTCTCCATTTGTAGACAGTCTGTCTTACTGTGGACACATGAACATCAAGGCTTTTGGAGATACTTTTGTAACCCTTTCCAGCTTCATGCAAGTCAACAATTCTTGATCGTAGGTCTTCTGAGAGCTCTTTTCTGCGAGGCATGGTTCACATCAGACAGTGCTTCTTGAAACCAGTAAACCCAAAACAGGTGTGTGTTTTTTTAAGGGCAGGACAGCTGTCAGCAACACATCCAATATCATCACACTGATTGGAGTCAAGGTTGGCTCACTCCTGGCTCCAATTAGCTCTGGGAGAAGTCATTAAGCTAGGGGCCTCACATACTTTTTCCTCCATGCACTGTGAATGTTTACATGTTATGTGCAATTAAACCATGGCAACATCTAATGTTTGTGTAGTATTATGTTCAGCAGACTGTGTTCTATTGTTGTGACTTAGATGACGTTCAGAGCACATTTTATGCCCAATTCATGCAAAACTCCACGTAATCCCAAGGGGTTCACATACTTTTTCTTGCAACTGTACCATTAAAAGGTTTTTGTTAAATTTATGCTCTCTGCTGGGGTTGTATTCTTATCAGTTACATTTTTTTCTGAGGACTAGATATCCCTGCCGATCTATGATATAGAGAAGAGGAGAGGGGGAAGTTTTAGTAGTCCTGTTGTTGTCTTCCTGATACAGTATGGTGAAAGAGGGTTGTCACACAAGTACACAAAGTGTGCTACTAACAGAACTACCAGGTGAAAATTAAAAAAAAAGCCTGAAAAAAGGCAACCACCTCAAGGACTGATAATCTGTTATATAATGTATGATTTTTTGTTTTGATTTTACATATGATTTAGGTATAGACCAGGAAATGTAAGTCTTGATAAGCCATGAACACAGCCTAGTTCTGGAAATAACCACTCTCTCACATTTTGAAAAAACAGCCATGTATTTCTAACCTCTTCCACTGAAGTGCTCTATGTCTGCATGGCGGGATTGGGGAATATGTGTTTTTGCAATAATGATATCTTCTGGGAACCTTTAACCTGCCACAGTTTACTCCATGTTCATCTCTGGTTAACCTTTTACTTTTTGTGGCCACCATTTGCCATTTACCACTTCTTATTTTTATGGTCTCGTTAATTTTGTGCAATGATTTTGTGCAATCGTTTGGTGCTCTTTGCTGTGTTCCCGGTCAGCTTCACTGTGACCATGGCATAGAAAAGACAGCTCCTATTATTTCCTGGGAACAGAGCTTTTTTCATAGATCAGTTTTGCTCAGTTATGACATGAATAATGGGAATGGAGACACACAAGCTCTAATTATTTGATTTCTTCCCCATCTGTTAACTCAGCGTTTCTCAACCGAGGTGCTGCGGCACCCTGAAGAGTCCCCAGGGGTGTCGCAGCAAAATGGCCCAAAAATTCCCCAAGCCATCCAAAAACTTTTTCGTCACCAGTTACCCTATTTTCTGTACAGCGGTGCCAGTCCGCTGTGTCAAATGAGCAGTGAGATGTCACAGGCACTCAGGAAGTGTCCTGCCAGCCAATGACGTCATAGGTTTTTTAAGGGCCGTCCCACATGGCTTTCTGGGAGGTGCATGGGGCTAGCGGTCTGCTCTCTACTATGCAGTGGTGGAAGGTGCTCTTCTATCAACAGCTGGGGCAGTGTCAAGGTCCTACCTTTTCCCAGAGGTTATGCTGCTCCATGTGCTGGCATCCATCTTGGATTTCTGCAGAGCATGGTGGGAGTCTTTTATGCCTTCTGGCCTCTGCGGTCCATCCCCCAGAGGGGTGTGGTTGATCACATATAAGCCTGTTGTCCACACGTGCCCTTTGCATTCGTGTCTTGTGTGTTAGTGTTGTAACAGCTCTGTTTATACTCTCGTGACTCTCCTGGAATCTGACTCGGCTTATGACTTGACCATTCTCTGCGTTTTCCTTTGATCTGACCTCCCGTTGCTGAACCAGGCCTGTGACCTGTGATTCTTGTCTACTGTTCTGTACCGTTTGTCCCGTTGTTATCGACCCGGCCCGCCCGACTACGCTATTGTCTGATCTGATTCCTCCCAGCTACACGCCATTGGCGGCGGCCATTACCGCAGCTGGGGTGTCTCAGGGGCCGCGACCTGGTTCCTGTCTGCGTCAAGTCCATCCCCACCATCAGGGGCCCTGGGGAAGGGCAGCCTGGGACTTAGGCTCCGCGCCCTGAGGGACTCCGGTCTGTGGGTGGTGGTTGTCATCAGTCAGTGCGGGACCCTGCCACTAGGCCTGCCTGTCCGTTCCACAGCTCCTGCCCTGACAGGCGGCACATGCTGGCGTGAGAGGGTAGAAAGAGACACAGGGAGAAGGTTTCTTCAACATGCTTCATATGAGCTCTGGGAGGTTCAAAATGTTTGTGATAATAGCAGACTTGGTAATTGCAAACATGGTGATTGTTTTTCATTTAATCGAGATTATATATAATCTTTTTTTGGTTTGTTTGCTATGTGGTTTTCATTACGTTCTACATCTTGTGCTGCAAGATGGCTTGGCCAGTGTGGGTGCAGCACAGAGTACCCCTGTTTTTTTAAGGGTTGCCTTGGTTGAAAAAAGGTTGAAGAACACTGTTAACTATTATAAGCATTGGAAATAAAATAACACTAAGTATTTTTACAGACAGTTTTTGTTTCTGATTCTTTTTAAAGAAATACTCCCCCTTTGCCCTGAAAGTGGTAGTGTCTGTGTAAAGGGAGGTGGATTTATGTAGACATGTCACTGAATAGCTAGCTATACTGTATGCTACATTACAGCTTTATGATGCATTACTAATGTTAGATTTTACAGGTCTGCATGATAAATATATTTCA